CCCCCCCCCCCAAATACGTTATTACGAACGAGTAACACCATGCCATAGACGGTTAAGGCGTTTTATTTTACCACGGTAGAGTAGAATCTCTATCTATCAATTATAGGAATTATTAATGAAGACGAGATGCCTCGATCTGAGCGTAGACCGTGATGGCAAGGCAAATATGCAGCACACGCAGGTATCTCTCCAAATCGGGATTCAAAGTCAATAACGGCTCTATGGCCGTGCACAACTGAAGAACTGTATCACCGCAAAATTTTACACCTTACGAAGTTACGGATAAAAGTTCAGGGAGAACAATTTGAAGGTCAGTTGCGTGGTTTCCAATGTGATGCGACGATTGCAAGCCAAACCTAGCTGCAAGGCCGTTTTGAATCTTTATCTAAGATGCTTCTTAGTTCTTCGTATATTTTCAGCCGATATTGATTAAAGCCGACGCAACGGTTTCTCAAAGCTCGAATTCTGCTGATGCACGCTACATACGCTACAATTTGCTAAAAAGCGGGTAGCTAATCTACAGCTCATATTTATATTTGGACGTATATTTATGCAGCAATGAACTATAATAGCTCGCAGACCTATGCGTCTAGTTCTTTTTAGCATTAATACGTCCATTTGAATGTCTCACACAACTTGTATCATGGAGCAGTGGAGTAGATTTACCTCTGAGGATTTCGATCCTAATTTTGTACGAGTCTTAGGTAGAGATTTCTCCACCGCTCGGTGCTCCAATTGGAAAAATTGATCGAGCTATTAATTTTTCTTCAAAATTATACCTTGGATATAGAATGTCTATTCGGCACCTCCTCTACCATCGCGGTCAATATTTTTGCTTGTAGGTAATCCTGAAAACTTTCCGTTCACTTTCACAGTCAAAATTTTGAATCGTCCGTATTTTATAAAAGATCCAGCAACTTTAGAGAAATGTCAATCATGCGTTAAAAATTCTCAGAGAATTAATCAATCGCAATACTTTAGATAGAATTTAGTTTACAATAGTACATATTTAGATCATTTTCTGTCATAGATACATTAATAGGTATAAAAAGAAAAATCACAGATTTTGGAATGGTTTTGTCCGAACTGCCGATGCCGTCCTCAGGAAATCTGCCTTATGGCCATTCGGCCATTGCCATTCAGAAAAGGCGACTTTTCCGAAAAATGTGCGAGTATTTTCCTTTCAACTGCTCAAAGAGTTTCATCCGCTATTTAATTTAAAGGACCTATGAATTTTGAAGGAAATATTCACTTTTTTCCTCAAAATAAAGATTTGATGGGGGAAATTTGGCAACATTTGAATGTACATACGGTGTTCTCGTTCAACATGGCCGCATAGGTATTTGAATAGAATTAATAGAAATTGCCTGATTTGATTTTTTACCGGACTCATTAGCACTAAAGACTTCATTTGAAAGATAGTAAGTACGAGTATGTCTTTATGGATGTTTTAGGTCAATGCAGTTCCACTATTTACGATACATGCACGCGGAAAAAAGATAAGTCCGAGCAAGAAACCTTCACCTCGTTCAACGCTTGTTCATTGAGCATTGCTTTGCGCTTTTACTCCGCGTGGATGATTTTATCTAAAGGCAGTTTGTCTACAACTTTGAACATCGCGTTGCACGCGTTCGCTCAGTGTGTGGTTTTTTTTCGGAGAAATTGGTGGGGGTGGGATGTAGGAAGGAGAGATATTTTGTCAATAAATGCTTTGTTTCAGTTATTTCGGGCTAGAATGTAAATAATGAGCCCCTAGATAAGGTTTGGACTAAAAATAAAGTCACATGTTTTCTCTTCAATATCTTACGTAGTAAATAATTCGATCAACGGGAAATTCGGAAAATAACTTCTGAATGAGATATTACCAAGTCTTGTTCACGCAGGTTTAATTTTAATCGCTAGTTTAAAGTTTAACAGACGTAAGAATCTGAAAAAGTTACTTTGTAATTCAAAAATGTCAAAACCTCAAACATCTAAGTAAATTAGATGGCTTTTTCTCAAAACTGTATAATTCGGAATTTAAACTTTAAAACGGCATACTCGTAATTCCAGTACAGTTTGACATTATTTTTTGGGAGTTTTCCAGGACATATCTTTTAGGCGCGGTTCTTTCGACTTGATTTTGTTTTTGCTTTATGACACTAGGATCTCTTTTTTAGTAGAATACCATAAAATTCATGAAAAATCCCAAAAAATGTACCCAGAAGTAGGTCCGAAGATTACGATAAAATGAATTTTAGGCAGAGAATTAAAAAAAACGTTTAAAATATACCTAAATTTTGTTTTCTCCTTCCTTATCTATATTTTTATGCGTGCGTCGGTCATTTTGCCGTGCTGTTTAAAAACGCTGCATGAACATGCAAATTCTGCCAAATTTCCATCAGATGAATATTGAATTAATAGGAAATTTAGGGACATCTTTCATCAACCTTTTTAGAAACGTTCATTAAATCGTAAGTAACATTCTCAAGAAAATTCAAAGGAAAATAACCATAAGTTCGTAGGAAAATTCTCATTTTGTCATAAGAAGTTTGGCAATGCTCAATTTTTCATTTTTAGTTTTTCCTCAGAACGGGTTCATTGGGCGAGGACCAAATTTAAGGGGAAATTACTTCCATGTAATGAAGGTAGCCTATATCGCTGAGTTCGACAAAATATCAGAACTTATTCATTGCTATTACGTGGCCTAATCAAAACGTCACAAAATTCAAGGATCAGTGATTTTCCAACTTACTGCAAATGAAACTTGCAATGATGCGGTTTCCGAATGAAATTGTACAGGAATGCGGTCTGGGAAGTCATTAAGGTTGCCGGATCATGCTGCAAATTGTGCACATTTTTCAATTTGTTCCATGTAGGAAAAGTGCCGATTTTCAACACAATGTTGCAATCATGGAACTCATTGCGTAAAAATCCAGGATGGAAAACCGAAGGGAAACCACAGCTACGGCTCCCAACTTTTTAACCTCAAAGGGTACGATCTCAAGCCAACTGTGACTCATTCACGCAATTTATCCAGTGAAATATTGCCTTTTCTCCACAGTTTGCGAATAATTGCAAAGATCAGACATTTTTTGACACATGTCAAGGAAATTTAAGTGCCAAGAATACTTTTTTCAGTCATTAGTACTGCGTATTATTATTCCCTTTTGCTTCCTCTCTTGAAACTTCTAATTGAAGACTTTTTTTTAACAAAAATCCGAACACAATTGCTTTAAGTCCAAAAAATATTTGCATTTTTAAAAGAAACAAAATTTAATAATACACCATTATGATGAATCACTTTTAGGACCTTTACCGATTAATGAAAAAAATGTGCGGAAAGGGGGAAAGTTTTTAATTTTTTTTTTTTAAACGTAAACCTAGGTCTTTTTCATCAGTGGGGTATCTATGAAACATTTCTTATACAGATAGATTCTTTTGTTCACTTATATTCCTATTAGAAGCGCAATAAATTATTCAACTTTTAGAGTGTACCTCTCGTGTTCAAATGTGTCAATTAAGTTTCAATCCGGTTGTGTCTTTTTCTTCTTTTATTATTTTGTATTTTTTTAGAACTAGCCTTGAGTTCCCCGCCTTTTTTCGTTGCGGTAAGCGCCGGCTGGGATGCAAGAGCCCTAAAATCTTGAAAATTCGTGTAGCTAAGGGCCTCACATGGGGAGAAAGTAAAAATTCGTTTGATAGGACCAAACTTCGATTCATATTGCACAAACTTCATGTCGGCGCCGATGACCGAAGGTTTTGGTCATGGACCACACTTCGGTCTAAATGACCAAAGTCGTGGGTAAAAAATACGAACAACACTATGGCTACCAGAAACTTTAGCTGCGAATGAATTGGAAATCTCGATGTGCCAAATGAACCGAGGCTCTTTTTCATACGTGACACTACAAACTACATATATTTAAGAAAGAAAAGAAAACATTGATTCTCCCTTTACGTGAGAACGGACCTGAGTTTCAGGGTTGAGAATTTTACCTAATTATTCATTTTCAATTAATCATCGGGTAAAATTTATGATCTTTAAGAAACTGCTACCATTTAAGGTTTTTTTATACCTTTAAACAAACATTTATACGTGTTAAAAAACTACGACACAAGCTTTTTTGAAATTAAACTTTAATGTGGAAAATTTAAACTTTTTTCGAACTACGCTTGCAATACGTGGAAAAATTTGCGAAATTTTCGGTGAAACAGCTCGCAAGTAAAAATACTAAGTCCGCGTGGACGTTTCGCAACATTGAAATCGAGTTACGCTCTTTCGTATAGGAAACGACTTCAGAGAAAAATCTCGCATTTTCGCACATTGAAAAAAAAGATCTGTCGCATATGAATCGTGAGTGCGCGAGTTTCTATATCGGCCGTACTATCCGGTTCATGTTACCGAACTAAATAAAAAATCTCGGTTGAACAAGGTGTCTACTGAAACAGGCTGGCCAAAAATCAGAACTTTATCGGCACATTCCCGAGAAATTCAGTACCTCCTCAACAGAAAAATTCAGTACTTTTCCAGTACCTTCAATTGACGAAATTTGAAAAATTTCAAAAATTTGAATTTCCCGCTCAAATTGCGACAAAAGTGACAAAAAAAGCGAAAAAATTCCGGACCTTCTTACGGGATTTCCGCACTTTTTAAGTACTTCAGGACCGCCCCTAAAAAAATCAGTACTATTTCTGGACTTTGCGAAAGTTCCGGGCTTGTAGACAGCTAGACACCCTGTTGAACGAACTGAGGTTACGGTTTCTAGAACTGAGAATACTGTTACATGACCCGAACAGTTCGGCCGATTTACACGACCAAATTTTGCTTCTCAGTCAATGAACATGAACTTCTGATTGAAGAAATGTTGTTGTTGTTGTTTTTTTTTTTTAAATCCAAACACAATTGTTTTTCGTCCAAAAACTATTTGCATTTTTAAAAAAAAATAATATTTGGTGATACACCATTCTAGAACAATTCTAACCACCCTTCTTGAGCAATTCTAACTTTCACGACTTACTTTCATGAGAGCGAACCGCTGATCATCTTCCAGATCTATCCTCTCGGTGGCCGGGGGCATCCTGTCGTCTTTCGAGAAAATCCCTGGACCAAAAAATCCAAAGCTCGTGCAGAGCACAAAACACCGGGGAAAAGCTCACGGGAAGAAGCGTTACGCACGGGACAAGGAGCGTTACGCACGGGAGAAGGAGCGTTACGCACGCGGAGGCCGGTCGGACACGAGCATGAGCACACGCGGACGCGGTTCCAGCGGACGGAGCGCGATTGTTCGCGTTTGTAACAATCGCGAGTGCTGCCACCCCGCGGTTCTCCCGCCACCGCGACTCGCGCACAGCGTTGCCGCTTCGAGCTGGAAATTCACGAGTTTTCTTTTGTTGTCGGAGGAATAATGGGCTCAGATGCGCCAAAGAAAAGCGCAGTAGGAACATTCGTGCCACTTGCTCACTAATGAAACATTCATTTATGAATATTTTTCCTGGAAGTTTTTAGATGCTGAAGATCAAATTGCGAATGAAATTATCTGAAAAATTTGGAGAAAAGTATACACAAGACTCCCTGAAAATTCATATTTTAATTTATAAAAATTTTTATATAAAAATGTTGATATTATTAACGTTTAAAATTTAAAATAAATACCCCCGTCACCACGACTCGCGAACAGCGTTGCCGATTCGAGCTGGAAATGCACGAGTTTTCTTTTGTTGTTGGAGGAAAAATGGGCTCAGATGCGCCAAAGAAAAGCGCAGTAGGAACATTCGTGCCACTTGCTCACTAATGAAACATTCATGTATGAATATTTTTCCTGGGAGTTTTTAGATGCTGAAGATTAAATTGCGAATGAAATTCTCTGAAAAATGTTTGAGAAAAATATAGACAAGACTCCCTGAAAATTCATATTTTAATTTATACAAATTTTTATATAAAGATGTTGATATTATTAACTTTTATTAAAATTTAAAATAAATACCCCCGCCACCCCGCGGTTCTCCCGCCACCGCGACTCGCGCACAGCGTTGCCGCTTCGAGCTGGAAATTCACCAGTTTTCTTTTGTTGTTGGAGGAATAATGGGCTCAGATGCGCCAAAGAAAAGCGCAATATGAACATTCGTGCCACTTGCTCACTAATGCAACATTTTTTTCCCTTGCTGGTTTTATGGCTTTGTGTCCAGTGGCGTGGCGTGAATTGCAATATATCGATTGTCATGTCATTTAAATCTATGGAAAAGTATCGATAGACAGGGTGTTCGCAGCGAACACCTAAATAATCGATTATTTACCACAGCTTCAAATGGGGAAATATCGATAGATCGCAAAGCACGCCACGCCACTGTTTGTGTCTCGCACCTTCAGCCAACTTTAGACTATGTTTATTGTCCGCAGACATCGAGGGATTTAGGCACATCCATGCTCCAAATTAAATTTCTTCCAATTCTTCAAATTCTCAGGGATTAGGGCCTAGTAGAATCTGTTTCAGCAGATATACTCTGCAATTCCGTGAAAATTAGATGCCATCACCGGGATTCGAACCCGGGAACAATTGACCTAGAGTCAGACGCGCTGACCACTAGGCCAACCTGGCCGGCTAATGAAACGTTCATTTATGAATATTTTTCTTTGAATTTTTCCGATGCCGTAGATTAAATCGCGAATGAAATTTCTTGAAAAAATGGGGAAAAATATACACACATTTTCCTAAAAATTCATATTTTATGGAAAGAGATTTGGAAACGCCTGACGACTTATATGGCGTTTTTCTTTAGCAAGGTAAATTAGTAAAACTGGGCATGATTTGTCTAAAGTAACTTTTAAATGTTAAAAAATTCCCACTTGCAAATTGTATTTTCATAACTAAACGTTTTTGGATCTTTAATTGCAATTTCCAATCTGATTTTTCCTCTTATTCCGAACAAATTCCAGCAAATTTTGAAAAGTGATTACACTGTTATATTTCTGTAAACATTTGGATATTTTTTGTCAATTCTGCAACCGTGGAATGGAGTACCTTTCTTTGTCCAAGAATCAGCGAATTAAGGAAGGGAAATTCAAAACATCCGAGGTGCCATCAGAAAGGCTCTAACTTCGCGAAAAAATTTTAAGATTCATTTGGCGCAGCAAAACTAATTTAATCGAGTTTTTTGCTCACGGGCGTAGGTCCATTTTAACATTTCTTAGACACAAAAAAAAAAGATTTTGAACAACGTCATTTAAATAAATGAAAAAGATAAAAATTCCGATTAAAAAAATTGTTGTTTTATATTTAAGGCGGCTATAAACATCACTTTGAAGAGCGACTCGGAAAGGGGATCGATAATGGACTGCATTTTGCAATTTGGAACTATAAATTCTGCCTTCTCTGGAAAAACACTTATAAGCACAGGAAAACTAATGGCACATACGTTGTTTTTAAACCGGGCTAGAATTTATAGTCCCAAAATACTAAATGTAGGCCGATTAATTGATCATTTCTGGATTTTAGGAGATTTCTTCAAAGTCTCCTAGTATCAAATCACGCTGTATTCCGTCAAATATTTGCACACAACATTTGACCAAGAGACATTTTGAAAGAACTCCAAACCTCTCTTTTGAAAGCAATTCCGATATCACAAATTGTTTATCCGTTCAACTTGCAGTATTCACTCAGGACATACTTTTAAAGCTATTTCAAAATGTCTCTTTGTCAAAGTGTGTATGCGTAAATATTTAACAGTCCACAACGTTCTAAAATAGTCAGGTCGATTCCTCTCATATTTTGAAAACTTCATTCGGAAGTACTCGGAAACAGTAGTTGAAAAAATCGCGAAAATATTTTTCGTGGTAATTTACGGTCTCTGAAAGTCTTGAACTTATTGCTGAAACCGAACCGATTCTAGCCTTCGAGGTCTAGAAACCGATTCGCACGAATATCAAAAAATGGTATGTCATTAGAGACTGGTTTTCAAAGTTAAAATAAGTTCTGAAAGCACAAAAAAAGAACATTTCATTTGTGAGTGAATTTTTTACTTCCCACAAATCAGAGACGCGGAACGAAAAGTCTGCTGCGCAGTGAGCACGTATACTAGTGGGAATGTACCTACATTGTGGTTCATGCACGCTTTCAAATCAGTCAAACTTTTCATTATGAAAAAACTAATGATCATATTCAAATCATAAAGTTTTTATGGATCCTTTTTCTTTTGCCATGCGCGGACTACACCCATTTCTCTTCATGCCCACCAAAACAATAAAGAACGGGAATCCGACCTTGGGATGCGCCGCAAATACTGCCGCATTTTTTCTGTACAACCGGTTGCTGAACTAAGGCGCAACTTTTTCACCTTTTACAGTGATAATATCGCACGATGCCACAGTAATTGATGTAATAATGAGTCGATAAATGGACGAATTCAACAATAATCAGCCTGACTAATCAAACGTTGCCTAATTTCTTTTTTAAGCGCTTTTCTAGCCGAAGGCATAGCGCTAAAGTCTTCCGTTTATTTCATACGCTTTTATGGTGCCAATTCCACCTTACATTAGCATATCACAGGGTTTTTGGGCGCTATATGGACTCCTGCGCCGAAATTCCAGGCCTCGATTTTTGACAGTCTAGTTTCCTCTTGTTTTTCAAATTTTGCCTGAGTTTACCGACCAAAACTTATGGAGTACCCACCAAACTCCAGCCAACCAAACCAAAACTGGACGTATTTTTGCTAAAAGGAACTACATGCAAGCGGAAATATGGGGTGTGCTCGTGAAAGCAGGATAAGAAACAGTGTGGTCAGTGGATATAGTTCCTTTTGAGAAAATGGAAAAGCGGGATTTAACAGTAAACCAAAAGGAACTGAGCGCTAACTCGTGAGCCGTGGACATATGACAAGAGCATTGTGGACAGGGCTCATGAGTTAAAGCGCCCTGACGACGAGCTTGTCACCGTTTTGCGTCTCGATCGTCGCCGCTGACGTCACTGGCGCTTTAAAATCGTCATTCAGTCTTATGACCCTCAACTAACGAGCACACCTTTTTCTCTTTTCACTTGCACATAGTTCCATTTAGCATAAATACGTCCAACTCATGTCCATTCGTCCATATGTCTTCGCGCTAAGTTCCTTCGCTGTGAGTACTGAGGGGAGTACAACGCTTTTTCTCGGTGCTGGCCGTTTAACAGGATCACCCGGTGGATGCGTCCAGTTTCTTTAAACGTCCAATTATTGGATTCTTGTACTTTGCTTTGAAGTTTACGTATTAACGGCGGCCGGCACCTCTGTCGGCGGCGTGCGCTACCGGTGGGTGGCGTTAATCCAAGAGCGTTCCAAACGAATGCGTTAACTTCCTCAGCGGAGTGTTGAGTGTTTACGCTGCACCGAGCTATCCTTGCTGCCCCCTTTTCCCGGCACGGCCCGTTCATACTGCTCCCGAGTGAGTTTCGAAACTTTCCACCTTCACAATCACGCTGCGGGTCACCTGCTAACCGTCCAGGTTCGACGTTCGAAGGCATGAGGCTGAGCAACATTTTTCTGGAATGTTCCCGAGGTGCCGACAAAACCAGTGGGTAAAGTCGACTTTTCGCAGTGAAATGGACCGCGCTAAGCAGAAAGATTCCAAACCACATCAGCAGTAGAGAATTTGCAGGTGTCTGAAATTTGATGAATTTCATGTTTAAGTGGAAACTACGGAGTGAAATGAATACGAGGATACCCTTGGTTCATGAACTGAACAATTATTGGAGAAGATAAGACAAAATTATCCAATTTTCTAAAATACGCGTTTTAAATGGGAAATGCCGCCAGATGACGTCACTAGGCGGTGCATTTTCTCACTTTTAAATCTATTTTTATACAGTTTCTCATATCAGAAAAAAAGTATAAAAAATACTGTGAAATCAGCTCTTTAAGCACTTTCAGATGAAGGAATAAAACATTTTGCGTGCAAATTTTCCATTGCTAAATTTAAGTGGCCAATTTAATTTTTCGCATGTATATGGTTGGTCGGATTTTTTTACCAATTTCAATGAATTTTCTGCATACTACGAAGCTAATTCCCAAGAATTTTCAAAGGCACGAACATTCTCTTTTATAAAAATTGATTGCTCTGTTAAAATTGGCAATAGCTTATTATGTGGCTTGGTTCCTTTTCTGCTAGACGCGGTCCTAATGTAATACGCTTTCGTACCTCATTGTAAAATTCATTTTTGAGAGCTCTCGCGAAATGTTTTAATTTACGTGAAGCTGTTAGTAATTTCTAGAGTTAAATTTTTCAGGCTTATTTTTGAAACTGATAGACAAAGCGGTAGACAACTGGAAAATGAAACGATACTTTTCGTTTAAACGGGTGGTTCTTATAGACTAAGGGTTTTGAAGATTCAGAGACTTAAACGCAGAGTAGGAAAAACAACCAATTCAATAAATGACATTGACGTCACAATACAACCACATATGTCGATGGCAAAACTGTTTCAAGATACATAAGTAGACTCATTGGGCCGAGTGCAGAGGCGGCCTGATTATTGAAATTGATAGACAAAGAAGACAAAGGGAGAACGGAGAAATCTTACAGGTTGAAATGGGTGGTTCTTACAGACGGTAGGGTGAAATGGTGGATTAACTATAGGGTCTCTGGTGGATTGCCATTGGCTGGACTATTACTGCCCGTCTGCGTTACTGTCTGCCCGTTGCAACCACCAGCTTCCACCAATAAGATCGCTCCACTTTTCCTTTGTTTCCTTTATCCATCGCTTTGTTGGTCAGTTTCACTAATCAGCCCGCTGGCAAAACTATCCACCACACTTGACTTAAGATGCGGTCGCTTTTAGAGGAGGCGAGGTCACTCAATATTTTTAGGTGATATCTTGGGGGCAGCTCAAAAATGTAGACATTTCTGATGCATAGGTATAAAAATAAGAGTGAATTTCAGACTTTCCTGATGTGCTCATTGTGATTTTTGAGCAAGAAAGCAATTTGACCTCATTTTGCAATAAGTGACGACATTTTCGGACTCATCTGTATAATCACTTATCTCCATAGAGAAACTAATAGCACATACGTGGCCTCTTAAATGAGCCCGGAATAGTAGTTCATTAATGCAATATATCGTCCTATTCCTCCTCTCGCCAAAGTTTTCGAAAAACCAATTAAACAAGCAAACAACCTATCTCTATATCGACGGTGTAATTCGACAATCACATAACTCGGTTTGCGACGTCTCTGTCATACTTTATTTTTTAAGTTTAGTTTTCCGCGGAAAACTACTCAACGTTAATTGTTTAAAATTGACGTGATTTTTCTTCTCTGTGCGAAGAAAATTCTGCGAAAACCTCAAGGAATGATATCAATACGTTCTCCTTTAAAAAAATAACATAGCGGCGGAGATTTTCAAACACCGCAAACGAGGTATGTGATTGCCGACTTACACCGTCGATATGCGTCTTAATTAAAAGAAAGCGTTAAATAAAAAAAAAGCAGGGGAAAATCGTAAACATTTTAATTTCGCCATCATATTGTGACGAATTTTCAAATGATATGAAATTCCTCACGAAATCGAAAAATTCCTCGAGAAAATTCACTTCGCATCTCACAGGAGCGGATCTTGATAACCCATGCGCCCAAAATCGTGATCCTCGGAGTCGTGGGGTCAAGGCCACGCGGGTGATCCAGTCAAGGACCGGAGTTATTTTCCAAGAATGCCAGCCAAGCCAAGGATAGTCCAGCGAGATGATTTAGGAATCGCTCGCGTTTTCGACCGATCGCGGATGAGGGGGGGGGGTCGTAATTTTTGGATACGATCTCCCGATCCTGCGTGCAACGGGTTAATGAATTCAGGCTCCAACGACGCATGATGACCAACTGACTGGAAGCGATGCAGTCAAATTATAGATGCACCTACGGCCAGCGGAAACACTGGAGGTGGGATTGTTCGAAAATTAATCGGGGTTTTTTATGACCGTAGCGATGCGTTCGGATGAGGGTTTCAAGGTTGGTCCGCGTGGATATTTCGTTGTTTTCTCGCGTTTTGTTTTTCAGTCATAGAAACAAATTTTTGTATGATTTGGGAGTACATTTAAATGCTGCTACATTTCCTTCCTACAATTGAAGCAGCACAAGGCATTGGTTTAAAGTCCAAAAGTGTTTTTGCGACGTTTTTATTCATAGTACTTATTTCTTTAAAAAGAAATCAACCAAAACATCACCTAAACATTTTCTGTGAATATAATTCTTCAGGAGAAAAATAATTCAGCAAAAATGCCAGCAAAACTTTTGATTAGTTTTTTTTTTTTTTTTTTTTTTTTTTTTTACAAAAACAAAGCATGAGCGGAAATTTGCCAAAATCTAAAAACTAGCAGCGTAATCAAACTGAAAGAAAGAAGTATTCAGTCACAATGAGAAAATTTGGTGCCCCTTCCTGAGTCCTTATACATTGTCTAGTCAGTGTTAATTTTCTTAGCATCATCGTCATGCCCTCACCGTTGTAAAATTGGTTGAATTAAACTGAACAATATATTGCTGAGTTATTCCATCGCTTTTTTCTGTGTGCGTATGTCCAACTGCGACATAACTTTCATCGCACGATAATATTATCCAAGTCATAAAAAAAACAGTGAGAAATTCCTTTCCTTACGCATGTGGCCGTAATCGTTCACGGGGAATAGGATCTCAAAGCAAAAAGAACGACTTTTTTTAAATTCAGCCGACAAAAGGGAAATTAGAATTTTCGGCAAAAATTATTCACTAAAACAAAGAATGAAAGGTGATTGGTCAGACACTGTGAAGTAACATTATGACCGTTCAAATTTTTTCGACTGAAAATACCTGCGTTTTTCGAAATGCAATCTTCATCGTCGTAAATCAGATTTAAATTGACATCTGTGGGTGTGTTTACGGCAAAATGTTTGTCAAACATTTGTTGTCAGGTAAATTCTCTTTTGTGTGTTTTTAGCACCAATTTGGCGCCATTTTCCCGCAGACCGTCGTATTTGAAAGATTTAAACATTAACAGTGGTAAGCACATTGATGAACTTTGATGAGCCGCGCTAAATTTTTCACTAATCTGACGCGGTCAGCCTTCAATCGCGGAGAATGCAAAAACACAGACATGTAGCTATCAAAGCTGTGCTCGTTCGCTGAAGGAACCGATCGCATGGCATGGGATGACATTGTTCTAATAAATGACGTCATAAGTGCCTTCCGTTGTGAGATAAGAATTCTGCCTCTTGAACATTGATAAAATGTTAGGTAAAGGAAACGAATGTCTAATACTTTTTCTCCGAAAACTGTCCGAATTCTGGAAAGCCATGAAAAAGGCAAACTTGTCGTCAGTCTTGCTGCTTTCATACCTAGGAGTTTTGTGCCTTAATGTTTTAATTTACCAAGATGTCAGTTTCTTCATTTTAGACCCTCAATTTTCACTGCACATTTGTGTTTTGCCCTAAGAAATCGAGATATTATTAATATTCTCTAATTCTGAGAGAAGCATCATTTTGATCGTGTATCCAGTCGTTCCGGTAAGTTTCGTTGCAATTCTTATTATACAATGATATATTAAGTAAAAATAGCATGTATGGTAGGTAATTGTACTAAAAACCAAGTAGCTGGCAACTTTCCTTCCGTAATGTTTTTGAAAAATGTATTCATACATGAATGTAATAACAAGTCTGGATCAGTCGTTTTCTCTCTTCTCTTTGTTTTGATTTTCCCGACCAACATGTGGTCTGCAGGTTTCTATTTGAAATTTGTAAATTTTATTGTTATTCCTCCGACTGAAAATGACTCAGTTTTGGAACGTCTCGGATTTTTATGTGTAATTTTTAGCCTTGTTTCCCGTTTTTTCTCCTATGTTTTTGCAATCACCATTGTCACGTGCTGCTGTTCTAAAAAATTTAACCTATATGAATGTATGGTCTCAGCATACGGAGAAAACAACTTCGGCTCTTACGAGAGGACACTAAAGTTTTCACTCCATGTGAACATAGTTTCGGGTCGTAGAGACTAAACTTCAGTTTATGTTATTTAAGTTTTTGATAGGCGCACTGGAAGGTTTTGGTTTACCGAGTACTTTGGTTCTAAGAATGACATTGGTTCCACGATCGAAACTTCAGTTACCTGGACCGAAAACTTTGGTGCTCCATAAGACTTGAAGTTCATTCGTGTAATTGCAGGATTGATCTCTGTGTAACAATGCCGCACTGTTACGAGGACTAAAATAATTTTGCCATAAACTCAACATTGTAACTATGACTAGAAAAGTATGCGGGACTTAGAATCCACTATAAACGTTGTGTGTAAGTGCAAAAAGTATCCTTTTTTCTCCTTAATAAACTCACATCTTCTTCCTCAGGATCAAGTTAAATAAACTGATAAGATTTTATGAAATGTACTCGAAGTTGGCAAGTAAATCTTACTGATCGTGGCTATTATTTTGATCCAGATCGCTGTTGAGAAACTTCGAAACAAAGACAAAGGGCCCTTTGGCCTCTGGAAAAGCTGAAACGATGCATTTTCTCACAAAATGCGACAATTTGACGGGAAGTTCTTTGCTGAGTGGGTGAATGAATCGATTACAATTTTGGGAGAAAAAAAGACTAACAGCTACTTTAGCAGGCTTTTAATAATAAGAGGAACTTTCAAAGGGACCATTGACTCACTCTGTAACTGCGATTCAGCTCAATTTTACCAGGTACTAAATTTTCATCAATTTTTGACGTTCACTGTAGCAAAAAAAAGGGTTCAAAAAATCATTTCCAAACCAACGCTGCTACAGTTTGTTGTGGTCACACACTGAAAAAAATGAATTAGCGTCAGATGACTAAAAATGGTTTCTATACACTAACTCAAATTGTGTGATTTGGACACACATGATTTTTGGTTTCTGTACACTAACCACTATTAGTGCTGGAAACTAATTCCGCTACTCTAATTCGCATTCGGTAGGGTTGGGTCAACCTAACCTCAAAACTGAGAGAGGAGAAAACGACTTAGCGAATGATAACTGGACAATACTTTCAGNATTTCTCTTTTTAAGACGATGCCCTTGTTTTTTAAAAAACTGCATATTGATCTTCATTTGCGTACAGTTCTATACGTAAATATTGATTAAAAATACGTAATTTTTTAGTAAATCGTGCAAAGAAACTTAAAATTATGTTACAGGGGTAAACTCTTAAATCAAGTTGTAAAACATTTTGAAAGTGAAATTACAAAAACTATCACCTGAAATGCAGCATTTAACTATGCATTTAACCCATCATCCTCTCTAGAAAATAAGGAAAAATCGGACATTATGAAAAAATCAAAATAAAAACCACCATTGAGGTACGTGTTTCCATGGTTTCGCCGTGGAGGGATACGATGATGAGCGCCTCACCAAAACGCCTGAAATCAACAGACCGACTACACGCTTTACTCCAAATATTGCTGGTATGCAATACATTATATATAGCTAAACAGGGCACATCGGTTATCGTAGTGTAACCGGTGAGTCCTAATGCTCTCCAGGTTCCACATACTACTGTCTTAAACAAGCTGTTACCAACACTGCCATTCTAAGGGAAAACGCCGTATGAGCATTCAGATGTTCCCAAATTTTCTTCTAGAAAATGCGTATTTTTGAAGAAAGTTATGGTCGTGTTTCCTTAAAATTTTCAGACACTTTAAATGAAAGTGAGAACGAAATTTTCTGAAAAATTGGAGAAAAAATTCTGACGAATTTTACCGAAAATTCGTGATTATTTCAGAGGAAATTTAGCAATGTCTGAGGACTCATACGGCGTTTTTCCTCAGCACGGAAAAACAGCTCTTTTTGTTGCTACAATTCATTATTTTCCTCTCTGTTTTCAGAATGAGGTTCACCGACACCAGCAACACATACTGCTCCACGTCTTACTCTTATGCTCAACACTCCATTTTGGAAAGATTGTTGCGTGGACTTATAGAAGAAAAATTACTTGATCCGAAGCTTTGTGCGAATTCGGGTGTTCGGTTAAATTTAGTCAATAATTTAGCTGGCGGAGTTAGTTTTGATAGGGCATCAATAGGCTGCGTCAATGTGAGTAGCTCATCCGATGTGAATGACAAGAAATGTACTCGGGAAATATACCATCCGATTAAATTGTTGGAAGAACTTTTTAAGCGCGGATCATTATCCGAGGAGACCGGTTGGGCGCATCTGAAGAGGGAAATCGAGAATGGTCTTGAGAATTTAAGGCGAGCTCTTGAGGCTGAGATTCTGCGCTCTGAGGATATACGCAAAAGATCTGAAAATTTCGACAACACCAAGCCGTTTTCATCGCTCTGTAGAGCACTCGCCGATACTACCGCTCGCGATGAAAATAGCAATCAAGTTCTTGCAGCATTTGAGCAGATATTTGTGGACGGTCACCCTCTTACCCCGACTGCAAAGGTGCGATTGGGAATGACACATGACGAAGCTGCTGAGTGTGGCCCAGAATTTGCCACAGAAAAGAAACAACTTCTGCAATTTTATCGGCTATAGGTAAATGTTTTGACTTCTGCTAAATGAAAAGCAGATCCCGGTACCTATCATAAAAATGGTAAACCGAATGCTACGTGATTTATCAAACATTTCTCAAGTTCCCATGACAAGTATTGCTATCGCGCTGCGATTACAGACACCAGCTTCTTAATTTTGGACGCGTTTTGGCGGCTACCTAGGCCACCATCATTAGCTGACTGATGACAAAATGAATATTGCTTTCTGATGACAAAATATATCACGCTTATTGTTAGTAAAGTTGATATATTGTAAAAAAAGATGTGCCGCCGATGTCTAAAGATTTATTTCATCTACAGTATCTACATTCATTGGGAGTTTTATCGACCCGACAGTTTTTCAACGTGATGCCTAAAGGGGACAATGAGTAGTATCAACATGAACAAGATTATCAGTGGAAGTAATACACGGGTCCCTCGGCTAGCCGAAATGGCATCTGAAGTCTGAAGAGATTAAAACCAACCCCGCTCTTGGACGAAGGGTAGAGCATTGTGACGAGTCATCGTGGAGAATCTTAACTGTATCCAGGAACCAAAAAGTAACTTGCCTTAACCGTAGTAGGTATGGCATTGTCAACACTTTTCAATTTTTTCCCTAAAATTCATTATCATTTTATAAAGTCTATTTTTCGGTTTCAAATCTTCGTTTCTTCAATATCATCCAGTCCATCTACATTAATTTTAATTACTAGACTTGCAGCTGATAGCTACATACAGGGTTATCCAAAAGTCACCTACCACCCCTGTAACTTTTTTCCTAATTGAAATAGAAGTTTGAAACTTTGAGAATGTTCCTCAGTTTAAGGTAGCAACTTTTTGGTCCCCCCAAAATTTTGGGGGGCGGGGGCTAACTTTTTTTTCAAATGGCAACCCCCCTTTTGTGATACCTCATTCGAAAGATAATAAAAACAGAAAATTTTTGGCGCAAACCGCAGGTCAAAATGTTGATTTTTGACAAAATGGCGGCCGGTCAAAGTTCAAAATGGCGGAAATTTGGCATCTCCGTTTTTTATCGGTGGACTGGTTTGAAAATTGGTATCCTAGGGATTTTCGGGACGAGAAAAACGATTCTGGCATTAGTTTTCGAGAAATGTCAGTCCTTTTCAAAATGGCGGCGGTTAAAATGACGGCTTAGAGCGGGAAGTGGATATTTAGGCTGCTTATCGTCGGATTCGTATAAGACTTGGTATCCGGGGGTATTTTGGCACGAGAAGAACGAATCTTTCATTGGATTTTTGAAATTTTTAAAAACTTTAAAATGGCGGCGAAAAAATGACGGAAAATCCATATCACGGCTGTTTACCGATGGATTTGCACAAAAGTCAATACTATAGTGGTTTTTGGCTCGAAAAAAATTAATCTTTCATTAGATTTTTGAAACACTGAATATCGTCAAAATGGTGGCGGAAAAATAACGGAAAATCCGCATCTACCATCGCCATTCGCATATTTTTGCCGCCATTTTAAAGTTTTTAAAAATTTCAAAAATCCAATGAAAGATTCGTTCTTCTCGTGCCGAAATACCCCCGGATATCAAGTCTTATACAAATCCGACGATAAGCAGCCTAAATATCCACTTCCCGCTCTAAGCCGCCATTTTGAAAAGGACTGGCATTTCTGGAAAACTAATGCCAGAATCGTTTTTCTCGTCCCGAAAAACCCTCGGATTCTGAGTTTCAGACCAATCCACCTATAAAAAACGGAGATGCCAAATTTCCGCCATTTTGAACTTTGACCAAAAAGTTGCTACCTTAAACCGAGGAACATTCCCAAAGTTTCAAACTTCTATCTCAATTAGGAAAAAAGTTACAGGGGTGGTAGGTAACATTTGGATAACCCTGTATGTAGATTATAGACAGCCAATCACGCATAGACTTGTTGTCTCCCCACCCGTGACATCAGCAAGATTATATAAGCGAGCGCTGCGCCCAAATCGAGGTCTTTTTACATCCCCTAGACCAGAGATACGTTGATCATCCAACATCCCATAGTAGTATTTGTTAACCACCAAACTCGTTACACCCGGACAAACTGTGTAATCATAATTTAGTTCAAAGTAAATATAGTTGTAGTAAAAGTTCTAACATAAAACTACACTTTCATGCAAAAGGGATGGAAAAAAAATCATTAATTCGAGTCAGGGAACGTATAACTAGTGTCGAGGAAGTGTGATCGATCATTTCAAACGTGAACTCGTCAAATATGGACCCTCCAACCCTAAAATCGCAATCGATCCCAGCGATAGACAACATTGACACGGTATATGAGGTTCTCTCATATAATATTCCAGGAATGCGAAGAGAGTTGCTGAACAGGTTTGCCCGATTCCTTTTTCTTATTCCATCTCAAACTCAGCTCCATAGACACTTTAGATGCTGGGTGTCATGGGTTACATGAGATAAAATATTTTGCCAACTCCTTGAACGTGTCGAGGACGAGCACAAAATAATGTACTTTCCTAAAGCAGAGGTATAAGAAAATAGACGAACGGGAGTGGAAGATGTGCCGACTCGAGAGTGCAATTCGCAAAGCATTGTGCATAAGTGTACTGTCGTTCTTGTTGTGAGAATGATTCGTGATACTGTTTATTGGATAGGTTTTTCACTTGGGAAAAAATTATTTTTCTTGAAAAAAAAATTCCTATTGACAAACAAAAGTTTTCAGTTAAAAAACAAATATTTTCTATCGGCAAGAAAATTCTCAATAAAAAGAGAAAATATCTTCAAATAAACGAAAATTAACCCTGCAAGTCTTTTAACCCATAAAGGCACCCAGTTACCGATGTCCTATTGGAAGTAGGAGGCGGGCATAAATCGCCCCGGTATTTCTTTTCCTCAGAAAAGTATGTTTCCCTCAGAAAAATATTTTTTAATTTCCTGAAAACAGTGTATTTCCACTAGCATAGGCGTAGCTAGGACATTTTGCTGGGGGGGGGGGTCTCCCACGGAAAAGTTTTGAAATTTTAACTCTACTTGAACGCATCTCGAGGCACTTGTGGCGCTAATCTTCTTTCAATTTCTGCCCAAAAATCACCCAGTGTTTTTGCATTTTAAGGTTAAAATACTTTGAAATTGTTTCATTTAACAGGTTTTGCTCTTTATAGGCATCCTCTCACGGGCCACGGCGACAGAGACTTACCGTTGAAGAAGGTGTTTTTGCACCATCCAGAATTTCCGGGGGGGGGGGCAGATGATACTATTTCCAATTCTAGGGGGGCCAGGCCCCCCCTGCCCCCCTTCCTACGCCTCTGTCCACCAGGCTAAGAATGAAACCCATAAAAGGAATCACCAAATCTTACAATCTATATTATACAGCTACAAGCAAAATCTTGGAAGCACTATTTCTGACAAACTACCGGAACGATAAGGATGATCTTTACATGTATGTCATCTGTAATAGCTGTAGATATGCAAAAAATTATGAAACCCCGAACTTTCAATGTTGAATTAAAATGGAAGAACATTTTTACCTATACATATGCGTACAGAACCCGCGAAGCGGGTCTGAGGGCGCAAAGCGCCCTCCAGGGGGTTAGGCCGCGTAGCGGTCAGGGGGCAGGGCCCCCTAGTTTTTTTATGCCATTCAACCGAGGAAAATAAAGAACACTTTAATACAGAGATTTATAATTTATTATTTAGTAAATGCGTCCGTTTATACATTCTGAAATAAATTAGGGCGCCAACCTAATCTACAATTGTAATGATTTACGGTGACTTTCTATATTTATCATCAGTAAATTAATAATACAAAATTATCATCGAGATGTCATATAGCTGTTAATGAAGAAGGTCCTTTGGGGACAAAAAATGAACACTTTTCAAGTGTATTACCTATTAAAATAAGTAGAAGATTAACATCTAAATCACATAATAGTTGAAGATTGCTATTTTTGCCGATTTTATTTTTCAAGTGGATTATTGAAATAACTGGCAGATTAACATATAAATACACATAATAGTTGAAGATTGCTATTTTTCAAGTGGATTATTAAAATAACTGGCAGATTAACATAAAAATACACATGAGAGTCGAGGATTGCTATTTTTGTCGTTGCTATTTTTTCAAGTACATTATTATAGTAACTGGAAGATTATCATCTGAATAGACAAAATAGTTGAAGATGCTGCCAAGTGGTGTGATATACCCTCTAGACGCGGCGCCGGGCCCTGTATGTTACTGGAGAAGTGGAAGGAACCCATAAAACACGATCGATTTCTATGTGAAAAAAGTCAAGACGTAAAATTTTCATCATAAAAAGAGTAAAATATCAAAATGAAAACATTTTAGAGGTGTGTACTCGTATTGTCAACGAATAAAAATTTTCCAGCTGAGCCATGAACGGCAAGTTGAAACGAACACTGATACGTTGCGTGTGTCTCGGCATAAAAAAAAAAAAATAAATAAATAAATATCTTTGGTACCAACAAGTCTTGCTCTGACTCATTTGAGGAAGAGATGCTCTGACATATATTATATCCTTTAGAGGGGCTCTTCAAAAGCAGCAGCGATTTCTTCTGGCAGGCAAAAGGCTGCTTTTTCAAACAGATTGGGCCGTTCTATAGTTGGATTATAATATATGTCCGCACATCTCTTATTCTGACAGCCTTGAGTAATAGTGCTTTCCGAGGGTCTGACGTCGAAAAATATATGGTTGTTTGTGTGCAGGGCCCCCCAGATGCTGCAGTCCGGTGAGGTTCCGAGATGCATTTTTTTATGCATCTTGATTTTCTTTACTAGCGGCGTGCTTCAATAAAAACATAAGTAAAGCAGCAGAGTTAATTTTATTTTATTCTCTTTTTTTTTTGTTCAGAGTTAACTGCGCATATTTTCACATTTTTTAATTTCATGAAGCTTACTTCTATTCTGCCGTGCTAAGGAAGAACGCTGTATGAACCTTTGGGCGTTGCCGAATTTCCATTGATGAAACACGAATTTCCTGGTGAACATAGGAATATTTTCCATCTAATTTCTCAGATATTTTTGTTCGCAATTCTACCTGAAGTTTCTGAAAATTGAAAGGAAAAATATTCATAACTTCCCTAAGAAATAAACACCTTATTGAAGGAAATTTGGCAACACTCAAATGATCATACGGCGTTCCTCCTTGGCACGGCAGTATAACACGAGCAATCCACGTGACATTTTGCGCCTCTGCGTGATACAGATTCTCCAGAAAATTTTATCTCTGTTCCTCACTTCTCATTTTTGAGAGAATCGGGCGAAAACATTAAATTTCGGAGAACTAGAAAAAACATTCGCTCATTCCAGTTCCTCTCCTTTTCTACTGTCCCCGTTTTCCCCCTTAATGCATTTTCAAATACAGTTTTCCCGCTCTCCTGCACGGCAACCATAGCTCTGCCATGCTAAGAAAAAATGCCGTATAAACCTTCAGGCGCTGCCAAATTTCCTTTGATGGAATACGAATTTACTGGGAGTGTTGTAAACAATTTTCTTTCAATTTTTTAGACAATATTGTTGGTACTTAAATCTAAAATATGTGAAAATCTCAAAGGAAAATATGCGCAACTTTCTTTCAAAAGAACCATTTTATTGGAGGAAACGTGGCAACACTCGAATATTCATACGGTGTTTTTCCTTAGCACGGCAGTGCAGCTATTTTTCACGGTTCAAGTTCAATACGCTGATGCGAACTTTTCTAGTAGTTGTCGTGGTGATGGAGGCACTGACAGGACAGAACTGGGGCACACATTGGTTCGTACAACATTCCTATTTTTATTTCCCCATTAAACTGGGTGGCATTAAAATGGATCTGCAATGCGTATTTGAGAGCGATGTTATAGTAGATTGATTGATCGCTAATTTTTGAACTTCGAAACATTATTCAAACATTTTTGAACTTTTAAACAATGTCCAAGCATTTTTGAACTTTTAAACATTATTCAAACGTTTCTGAACTTTGAAACATTGTTCAAACATTTTTGAACGTCACGTCGCGCTAGACTGCCGCGCCAAGGAAAGATGCCGTAAGAGCATTCGAAAGTTGCGAAACCTCCTCTCAGAAAATATTTATTTTTGAAGGATGTTACAAATAATTTCCTTTGAAATTTTCCAACTTTTCAGATCAACTTACGAACGAAACCCTTCGAAAATTGGAAGACAAATATTCAGAAATGTTCCTGATGCAAATTCGTGATTTGTCGAGGAAAATTTGGCGACGCCTGATGGTTCATACGGCGTTCTTCCTTAGTGCGGCAGGTATTCGCGCACAATATTTGAACAAGAGAAACTTTGAAAAAACCCCAAAAATGCCTCTAGGGTCTATAATGAAAATTATTTTTTTCTTTCGATTTGCTATACGTTCTTTCTGGGCGTACTTTCCGAGTCTATCCGAAATTTCAAAACATTTTAAAAGTATTCGCAGTTTTGTTGCTCTGCTTACCTTACTTTTTCAATTTTTTATTATTTAGTATTATAAATACACTGTAATATAATGCAATGACATGCAGAAACCTATATGGTCTTTTTACAATTTTTCTTCATTATTAATGTACTTACGAGACACATTACATTATGGCACTTTTTAAATCGCCTCAGGTATCGGTCATTGCCGTGGGCGCATGGCTCAAACATAATGTGCAATTTCTCGAGCAAATAAGCGGAACCGTTTATTTCAAAATTTGGTCAAAAATCTGATCTAATTTAGTTGTAGAAACATGGTGGATGTATAGAGTGCTCAAGCGCGAATGCGCCATGCACTTAGAATTGCAGTTGTTTCACTTTTTCCTCATCAAAATAATGAATTCAGCGAGGTCGAACCAGATTTTTCCCAGGCCACATCGCACAATAGTTGTTCGTTACCTAGTATTTATTTTCCCCTCTTTTCGTAATTTTAGGGAGAGCGTTGGGTGCTGTTGAAAATGGAGGCAAAATTGAAAAGCTGTCGTGATTCAATGTCACACACGGATGCCATATCTACACTCACTCCAGGCAATGTAAGCGACATCCACTGTGTCGCCAATAATTCACCATTCATCGAAAATTGATGGCCAGAGTGCAAAACCACGTATACCATTGCGGTGTTTCAAAAATTTCGCTCCTATTTCATTCATTTAAAAAGAAACAAGTCAACTTCGTGGCTTACAAATCATATAGAATATTCTGCTAACAGGGTTAAAAAATCAAGGATGTTTTCAAGAAATTACGTTGACTTACATTTCGAAAGAAAAAATAAATTCTGACAGATGGTCTGCAACATCGCGAACGGAGGTACATGGTTTCACACGTTGTCATGGGCGTAGCTAGGGGGGTCTTGGGGGGGGGGGGG